CATCTTGCACCAACCTCTAACCTATCTGCACTGCAAAAGGTATTACCAATCCCACAGGCATCGTTCCTTTAACACGTATATTCCTGCAAACATTTCTATCTGGAAGCCTTGTTTCTTGCGCTATCCCTCTACAACAATCCTTTTGTAACTTTTCAACTTGTCACCAGGTTTATAAAACTTTAAAGCTAGTGCTATACAAACTGAAACGATGTTATTGCAGATGTAGGAGAGCATCTTGGGATGAATAAATTATAGGAGTCACAAAGAAATCACAGCTACATGGCTGGATGCTCCAAGCTGTCTACGGTGTGCAGATATGCGGGAGAGAGCAGGTTTAAACTGCACAGATCATAGGGCACGAAAATTGAAGCGTTATGAAGGGGAACCATCTCGTATTTCAAATGCATACAGAACTTCTGTTGTTCTTCTTATTGAAATAGTTCATCAATGCTTGAATCTGTACTGTCAGGTACTAGAAAAATATGTCCCCAGAGATTACCTAGAGAGAGGAAAGGCTACAGTTGGAAGTATTAGCCTCTTGTCCCACCATAGAGAAAGTACAATATGCCCTGAACATGCTAGTCTTCAGCTGTGTGCTGAAAGGACATATAAGAGTGGGGAAAGACTTCCAGCTCCTTCTGAAGCCACTGATTCAGGATACAGTCAGAATTGGATCCACCAAAGCAGGCTGGTTGAAGCAGACCACTAAGGTGATAGTGACTTTGGGCAGTACTCAGACCATGTACCACAAGGACAGAAACCTGCATGCTGCTTCAGCTGCAGGGTGTCTTGAGGTCCACACTGCCAGTGCTTTTCATTCTCCTGGGTCAGAAGAACTAATAGGCTCTCCAATAACCGGGGTACCATACTAAGAGTTCTGAACATAGCACTGTCCAAGTACCACTATGCACCAATGAGCATCTATAAATACCTGCATGTGTTCCATGCTTACTGCGATCAACCATCTGTAGCAAAATGGCATTCAGCAGATCATTCATCCAGCCCATTTCCTTTAAGGAGAGCTAGGATATACCATCCTTCCATTCTATGCAGATCTTCTGAGCTACTGAACATTATTATGAATATTTTCCTCTTTGCAGACTGCCTTTAAATCCCCAACTTGCAAATTTGTGCAGGATATGAAAAGACTCCCAGCTAGACATTTCATCTTCATGGATCAGCACTTCCCAGAGGGTTTGTCAGTCAAACATGCCCTCCCCGATACCTATTTGGCCTGTCCTTGGCACCTTTTCCCAGGCATTTCAATTGATGTCACTGATCTTGGCTCCCCAAATAATCCTTCTAGTCACTGACAAGAATGGAGGCTGCAGCTCAGCATTGCTTCACAGGGCTAAGAGGAGTAAGCAGTAATAAAGCATTACTCTAGCAGGTGAGCTTGAACATACGGCTGACCACACACAGGCGGCAGCTATGATGAACAGGGTGCCATTTTTTTTAGTAGTAGTTTTGGTCCCTTATCACTGGGAGACCATTACAAGGCCAGTACTGTACCCAAGAACATCCTGCATGCTCTCGTGACTCCATCCTCTGAGAAATATCTGGGCACGACCTTCAAGGAGATAGAGGTACATCAAATTTGTACTGTGTGGCACCAGGAAACACACAGCATGTGCAGGCAGCAGGAAAGCGTTCTGTATATCAGAGTGTCTGGGAACTTCCAGCATAAAGACTTAACTGTGTTGCCTTTGTAGAGAGTCCTCTATCCTCCAGGATTGAAATGTCACTTTATCATCGCTTTGGGAATACAGTTCCTATGCAAGTGAAGGCAAGGAGTATTCTTTAGGTCATGAGTGAAGCTGTATTCCTCCACATCCAGCTGGACTTGTGTGGAAAGCAACCTCTGGAATCATGAAACAGCTAATCACTGACAGCACTTGTTCCCTGCCATCACACAGCCAGCAGGCACTGGGAGTCCCAGGGCAAGACACAGGAGAGCTGGGGGCTCTCCTCAGCCTGCCCAGCCCCAGCACCAGGGTCATTGTTCCCAAAAGGATGTCTGAGGATTAATTAATTATCCTACAAGGGGCAGTAAGTAATAATACTCCTTGTGGAACAATAGAAACTATTTGGTTGCCATGACAGCACAGCTTCACTTGTGTGCCTTTAATTTATTCATTGCACAGTCCCTTTCCCAATCACACATGATGCCAAAAAATGCCTTGTTTTTCTTGCCAGTATCCATGTCCAGAGCAGGGATAAGGCACAGCCCTTTCCCTGGGGCATCTGTCACATAGAAGACCGATGCCCAGAAAATCTCTTCAGGAAACTCATATCACATGAGAATTCCTCTGCTCCCTAAATGTTTGTTCTTCAAGAGGATTCTGATTTTTCAACCCCTTTTTGAAGCTACCTCTCCATGGTGCTTATAGACCTTGATCTTGTGTAGGTTCTCACATGTTCTCACTTTTTCCCCATTCTCCCCTTGCCTTAATAAATGCAAGAAGCATGGGCAGATTGTGCTTGTCAATTAAAACAGAGAGCCAGGAGGGGTAGTGAGAAGCCTAGAAGTGACATGCCTTCCCAGTATCAACAGAGCATGGCATGAACGTGAAGGGAAAGGCAGAAGAATATATATCCATTAAAACGCATAATGTCCACCAACAGGGCTGCCCAAGTTCTGCAAGATCCAGAGCAGCATGTGGATAAAGGTCCATGCCAGGAAACCTGCTCTCCCATGCATCCCACAGAGACATTATTGCTGCTGTTTCTGCCCAGCTCCATGCATACACATTTGCTCCAGCCATTCTCAGGCAGAGGGAAGCAGTTGTTTACTGGAGAGGGGAGAGCATCGCATTCCCATGGCAAGGGTTGGAAAGCATTGCTAAGGCCTGGCCACAGATCTTCACAACAGGTATGACAAAGCACTTTATCAGCCTTTGTAGTCCACAGACACATCTCCAGCAGGAGACTCATCCTGAACCTGCTTCTGCAGTGCTCAGCTATCTTCTCAGGTCTAGAGAAGATGATCAGTGCAGGTGGTACAGGTAAGGTGAGAACTAAATCCCTCACTCCTTTATGTCTGTGTAAGCTGGGGTCTTAAGCTACAGATCCAGACCCCAAATTGTTCATTCTGCAAGGAAGGTGACAGCTGGTTCATTGCATAGGAAAATTCAGGTCCAAGTTGAGACTGGGGGAGGAGATGACTCAAAGTTGAGCTCTGGCCTGACAGGCAAGATAGATGGAACTAGGTTAAGCCATCTGGCTCTTCTAAGTTGAGCCTAACCTCAAACACAACTAACCAATGCAATGGGAACATAGGTCTGTACTTGATTTTCTGACTGTACACACTGCCCAGTGTCACTGTTACTCGACCAAGGTGTAACACACCATGCAGATAAATATGGTAATGGTGGGATGATAGCAAAGAGCCTGCAGAAGAAGCTGTTTCATGAGAACGTGGATGTTTATGGTTGGCCCTTCACCCTGGGTCATTTGCATCCAGGATTTTCAAGCAGTTTGGAAACAAAAATGACTTACTCAGATTGTCTCTCCTCCCCTCCTCCCCACCATGCAACAGCAGAATAGCTGGTGGGCCAGGGAAACAGGGCAGGAGAGTCCAGAAACAGCTAAATAGGACAGGAGCACTGGGAGACCAAGGTTTTAATTGACTTGAACAGCAAGAGCTCTAAACTGGCCTAGGATTCTCCTGAATGGGTAAGGAACTGAGGAACAGGACAGCTGCTGCCAGGAGATACCCACCAGCCTTCCACTCCACTCAGCCTCTTGGAAAGGGGATTGGAGGAAAAGCCTCTGGGTAGGAAGGCAGAAGGCAAGATTAGGCAGTGATCAGTGCAATCTATGTCCTCTGCTAGACGCTAGGGGCTTCTGAGGTACAGATACCACAGGCTTGGATGTGTATCCAAACCATGACCAATGTAAGTTTCAAACATCACCCCAAACTGTTGCTATCCGAGCAGGTATTTTCTTCTCAGTGGTATGAAAAACTCCAGCCTAAAAGTGCCAACCAAAACCAGAGTTCCATCAGATGCCTCTCTTTCCAGTGCAGATCTCCAAGGAAATGCCAAATTGCCACCAGTAAACATGAAAAGCCACCGTTTCCCAACTTGGCAGGCGCAGGCTGCCTGTAAAGCCACCACTGCCTTCGTGTCAACTGAAAAGTACAATTATCATCTACTCTTTTAAGGCATAAGCATTAATGGCTCTGTAAGGTGGCTGTGCAACCAGCACAGAAGTATAAGGGATGTGAGTATACTCTGGATAAGATGCCACTAGCTCCAGAGGTGCCAGCAGAGCTCCTCCATCCACGTGTTCACAGGGATACTTCAGCGTGCCAGTATAGACGTTGACTGACCCTACTGGAATTTACCACACATTAGGAAGAGAACTACAGTCTTCCAGCATGTCCAATCACATCACAAGTACCAGCAGCAGGGGTAGGTGTGTACCACAGAGGTCCCACATGCCAGTCCTGTCTTGCAAAGCATTGTTTCAGTGAGTTCAGGCTTGTTTCAGCTTAGGGTTGGGCTGAGGCTACGGGGGACAACTGAGAGGCAATGTCAGTAACACAGGCTACTCAGGGGGAGGAAGGTTCAAGGCTCAGACTGAAACCAGCATGCTAAGAAATTTGGGAGAAAAATGTAATTTCTAGAGCTCAGTTGAGTGTTTGATTGTCTCTTTCATCATACGTGGGGAAATCATCCTTGAATCCCTGATGGTTTAGTGAGGAAGAATTCTGTCTTAAACCAGAGCTCTCATCACCCCTCAAAATTCTGTGTCTAGAGCAGAAGAAAAAGCCCACTTCTTCAGTACCAGAGAAGTGTCACTCCTCCTCCAACACCTTCCCAGCTGCAGGAAAGATCTGTAGTAGGAGGTGAAGGAAGCAGGGGTGTGACTACCCTGCTTTTCAGAATGCACCCTCAGATCTGAGGTGGCTCCAAGGAGCCATTGTCTTGGAAGCACACCTCAAACAGAAAAGGGAAGAACAGCTTATTAGGTTTTTTTTTGGCTCCCAAACTTACCATGTTGACTTCAGAGATCTGGTCAATGCTGGAGATATGGATGCTCATTCCCACTGTGACAGGGTTACCTGAAACATAAAGGGATTGCGTTAGGACCATATTCAAGCCTTCCTGCCTTATCTGCTATTAAAGAATTGCCTAGAAATGCACGGATGTGATTTTAAACAGCCTCACATTCCCCAATTATCAAAAATTTCTGAATCACATGTATTCTTCTCTAATCATTTGAGCACATTTCTCTAATTCCAGGCTTTACAGGCTCACCCTTAGAAGCAGTGCAGCCAATGCTTGATTCTTCAATTCCTGGAAGTTAATTACCCCCTAGTTATACAATTATCTCTGGTTATTCCAAATAATGCCTTCAGAGACCATCAGTAGGCTCCCAGTGGGCTTGCATAAGGTGTTACTGATTGACCATACAAAGAACATAGCAATCAAGCCCATGCAACACACTGGCTGGAAAGATACTTCAGCTCACTCCTCCATCACTCTGTCAGCTCTGAGTGCTCAGTCTGAAAACCCCAAGTGGATTTTAATACCCAAGATACCAGACAAATACAGGAAGCAGATCTATGAAGTGAGAAAGCAGCAGTTGTATAGCGGCTTTTCAGAGCAGACCTGCACTTGGATTAGAGAACAGATTCCCCATTTCAACAACAGGCATCAGGGCACATGTCACTCCACATCCTCTCACCTGCAGCCATCGGCAGAGGTTTGCTAGGAAATTCAGATCTTCCCTTACCCCGTGACCAAGCCACTCTCATGCTGCAGTAAGTGCCACTGACTGTGACATGCGAGATGAGCTTGTGAAGGAGCACCGCACAAGGGCAGCCACAGCCAGACCTATTGCCCTCCCAGGGCAAGAGCTGTATTACCTGTATTAGTCTCAAGGCAGAAACCAGACATTTCAGCCAACTCTTCCAGATGTGAGCATCCCAGCTAGATCCAGACTCATATCCAGTTCTACTTAAGCCCCTTTAACAGGCAGCTCCCACAGCCAGCAAACAGGACAGCCCTTTCACTGAGGTTGAAGCCACCATAAAACAATTTGTAGAGATACACATCTACTACAAAACCCTGCAAAACCCCTCCTCTAACTTGAGATGGGGTTTCTGAGTACTACCCCTTTTCTGTCATCCCCACTGTGAGAGCACAAACCGAATCCCACTGCAAGGAAAGCCCCTCCTCTCACATGTGCAAGGTGGAAAATGACTCCTTGCAATGCGGCACTAGAAAGGGAATGGCAAACAGTTATGCCACTCAAGGTATTAACTCTTCCATGGACTCATTAGTAGATACAAGTGTTGAAATATTTACAGATAATCATGAAATGGCTTAGAAAGTAATCAGGAGATTGGGGGAGAGGGGAGAACCACACAACTGGAAATGAAGTGATTTTTTAATTATGTGTTACCAGAAGTAGGGAAGTAGTGTCATTAGGGCTGTCTTGTGATTGGGTGCACTGTTAACCGCGACCCTCTGCTGCAAATTAAGCGGCATTATTCTTTAATGGAATATGAACAACACTGAAAACATCAGAATCAACAACTGTAATTAGGCCCTGCTATGCAAATAGCCTTAAAGAGGTACTGCTCTTTCCCAGCACCCCTGACTCACTGGTAGGGTGCTCAGGACACCTTGCAGAGCCTCTGAGAATCCCTACACAGGCACAGTTCCAGCCACATCTTTGGTGTATGCTACATTCATCTTTCACAAGGGAACCAGGTGGGAAAATAACCAAAAGTCACTTCAGGGAAAGCCAATTCTCCTTCACCCTCCCTTGTGCCAGAGTCTCAATGCCATAGGAAAGCTTTTAGGGAAGTTACCACTTTGGTAGATTGTCCTTTTTTCCTGAAACTTAGGCCTTGTGATAGAAGCCATGGCAGGAGAAGGAAGTCACCACTTGCCTGCGGATCTTACAGACTAGTTGGTTACAGGAGGAAAGATGGGGCCATGCACAGGGCTACAGCAGAGCTGGGGTGAAGCCAGCCCCTGACTCTGGAGACTTTCTGCCATTCCCTGTTGTTTCCTCCAGCAGTTGCCCTACTGCCTGCTTTACTTTCAGTTTGTCACCACTGGTACCTGTGTCACTGTGGCTATGTGTCCCCTCCTTCCTCAGTGCAAAAAAGTGGTTCTTCCCCCTGCTGCTGTGTAGGAGACCCAATGAAACCAGCAGGTTGGGTGGCTATAGCAGGGGAGCACTGACAGTGGCGATATACAAATATTTGTCAAATACAGACTCTATCCAATCTAATCTATCTGTCTAGACATTTGTGCTGTGTTCATCACCATGGTATCTGAGCGCCGGAGGTCATGCAGTGACTCAGTGTCAGAGCCATGGATAAGATCCAGACCTCCTGACTCCCAGCTCCAAGGCGAACGCTGGAGTGGAGATCAGCTACACTGCTCCCCATCACCCTGGCTCAGCTGCACCCAGCTCCCATGCGCAGTCAGCAATGTTCCTCTTGGCTACTCTGAGCACAACCCCATCCATCACAGCAAGTGGGAGGCTCTGCTGCCTGCTTGCAAGCCCTGGTGTGTATGCCCATCAGCTCACAGGCAGAAGTGTGTGACTGTCATACAAACACTCCAAAGACGAAGGTATGCAAAGTCCTGCCTTTACTGGACCAACTCTTAGCTTGACCACAGAGAAGCCATTTCACCCTCTCCATCCCTGTTGTGAAGACTGGCTTGAAGTCTCCTCAGGACAGAGACACAAGAGCATGTACACAGCCAACAGAAAAAGCATGCCCTACCTTTACTGCAGCCTGACGATAAACTAGACTGGTTGGTGCCCAATGTTCAGGCTGTAAGTGGTACACATAATAAACAAAGGACATCAATTCTGCCAACAATAATAGCTTCAGGCAAGAGGAATACAAAAGTAGGGTATTTAAACATGGGATAATGTCATCTGTGAATTTATCCAAAACCATAGGACTGCATTCGTGTATCTGAGACAAGGCAAAAGAGGAAAACCTAATATTAAAGGTCCATGTTTTTATCTGTGCCTTGACAAGTGGGTGCAAAGACCTATTCCTTCTCCCCTTAAAGAAAAAGCTTATACCCAGGAAAGATTTGTAGGCAAGATCACGAGCGAGGGAGTGTGAGAAATTCTGCCACATTCACCCAGGAATGGCGCACTCGCACATCCCCTTTTCACACTGCCACTGGAGGAATCACCAACATTTTGTCCTGAAATTAATTTGATGCCTGTGAAAAATGTACTTGGGAAGCTGGAAGGGAAGCAGACAAAAGAGTTATAATAAAACCTGCCTTTTTTTTTTTTTTGCAAATGATACTTGTCACATATAAAAACAGTCAAGGTAGAGAACAAGTTGTGCTAATCTGCAATATTTTCCCAGCAACCAGTTATTACTTTCACATTTTATAGCATTTAAAAGTTCCAGAACCTAGAGTCATGTTGCTACGGTAGAAGTCATTCCTATGGCACGACTGCAGAGGAAAGGTTGCTTCCACCCCGTGTCTGCCTGCACTGCAACCAGAGGTGACGGCGGCCTTGATCAAGACATAGCTTCCAGATGTCAGCCTGGTACCTCAGTTGTAGAAAGTAGCAAAGACATAGCACAAAATTCAATATAACAGGTCTCTAGACAGTGTGTTCTTACTTGGACAACCGCCCTGTACTAAGGTCCAAGCTCCCCTCTTCTCCACTCCTACCCCAGAACGTTAGACTAGAGCAAGCCTGGGTTTCTTTGCCATCAGATCCCCAACTGCAATAGAGATACAGCCAAAAAAGACTCAAAACCAGGGCAGACAAACAGCTTACTTTATCATCCACTGAAGCCACACCAGTTTTATGAACTACAGCCAATGCTTTGAGGAGCCTGGTTGATGCATTTCTGACCACGTGAACTTGGCAATGTTGGCAGAGCCGAGGCTTGCGGTTGCTAAGGGACAGGCATCAGCCTCAAACCTACCCTTTTGCTTAAACTACAGGAGCAAATGCACCAACAGGGATCTTGGGAGGTTGCACAGCCCTTATCTTCCACTGAAGCAGACCAGAGATGCCTTTAAATCACCAGTGTCAAAATTCCACGGCTCCCCTGGACAAGCTCATCCTGCATTTCACTGCACAGGATTTTCCTAAATTTCCAAACTGAAACTTCTCTGCAGTGTAAAGGCAGGTTTGTCTCATCATTTCCCCCCAGTGAAAGCGAAAGAATAGATCAATCATCCTTCCTTAACAACAGCTTTTATGTACTGAGAAACCATGACATCCCTCTCCTTCCTCCACCAATACTAGATTAAATGCACCTGATTTCTTCAACCTCTCCTCAGAGGTCATGTTTTCTAAAGCTCTGACAATTAGTGCTGCTCTCCCCTGGCCTTTTGCCCATTTGTCTACATCTCTATTTTAAAGCATGGTACCCAGAAATCAGCCACAGAAGTGAACGTCACCAGTACAGAGAAAAGAAAAAACAACCTCCTGTGTACAGCATTGGAGAAGCATCTCCAAACCCACTGCACCCACCCTGGGAGCTGCTCACTTCGTGTAGGAGGTTAGAGATGCTAAAGGGGCAGCCTAGTTCTTGCCAGTAGAGTGCATCATGCATGCAGGATGAGGGAGTACAGTACTGTCTGTTTAGGACAAGAGAAAAGATTATTCAAGACAGCTTTGTGCATGAGCCCCAGCATTCCTTGCTTGCACCCTGCCTGTGGCATCACCAGTCTCTGAGATCTCTGCAGCAGCAGGAAAGCTGCTTTAAGGCCTTCTGCTGAGTAAACAAACCCAACCAGAGATATTAGAGGCTTCAGCCACTAAGCCTACATATAGAACAGGTCTGTGCCTTACCCTGCAATGGTAAATACCCACATAAGGCATAAGACCATGTAAAACCTTGCTCCTCATCCCCAGCTCTCCAGAAGCCAAAGGACAGCAGTGGTACTAGAGACCAGAAACAGCAAGTCCCAGACATGATTGCCCTGCACAGGCTGGCAGAACTGTTACTGCAAATGCAGGGTAAGACAGGCAGGCATGAAGAGGGCAAGGTTTGACGATAAATGTAACTACAGGATTGCAGCACCTTATCTGCATTTTCAGTGA